AGGCAATCAGAACGTTTGCGGTATGAACTTGTTTTTCGACTTGATTTCCTGTTTGTTTTGGTTCGCTGTTGGTTGTTGTCTCTGTTGCTTGTGAGCCGTCCGTTTATCTCGGTAGTCCCGGAAGAGTTATCTGTTGTAAGAACATGCGCGCTTAGTCTTTGCGCCCTTCTCATTTCTGACACGTTCTGAATGCCGTCTTTCTTCGTATTCTTCTCTTTGTCATAAGCCCTTTTTTTACGGCAGATGCGCGCGGTACCCGACGTCGGCAGGGTGGTGGTTCCGTTGGCNTCTCTAAATCCGCCTAGCTAGATATCCTACCATTACCAAGATGTATGCAATCCTAAGACAAATTATTCCATTCATCCACCAAACCTTCGTCCGCAGGCAAAACGCGAAGAAGNAGGGTGCCCTCTCGTCTTGGAAAGTGCCAAGAAGGCGGCCAACAAAAAAACTTGGTCATTGCGGATGACGGGTGGGACGAGGCCACCATCCGCGAGCATTGCCCAAACGGCGCTTCCTTTACCACAATGGACGACAAGTACAGTGATGATTTTTTTTTAAGCGTGTAGTATTTAGCTTCAATCTTGGCATCGCATTGCAGTGCGAAAATTACACGCACAAGGATCGCCTTTTCTTACATGTTCTCGCTGGGTCACTTGACCACTGAAATTGNCTCCGCCGCGGTCGCCTTCTGTGCTCTTCGTCCGGCTGGCCGCGGCTGGCGCATCGTCAGTAAATTGTCCGCCTTCGTTGGGGGAGACCACAAATAAANGGGTGGGACGAGGCCACCATCCGCGAGCATTGCCCAAACGGCGCTTCCTTTACCACAATGGACGACAAGTACAGTGATGATTTTTTTTTAAGCGTGTAGTATTTAGCTTCAATCTTGGCATCGCATTGCAGTGCGAAAATTACACGCACAAGGATCGCCTTTTCTTACATGTTCTCGCTGGGTCACTTGACCACTGAAATTGGGCAGGTACATGCAGTTGCTACCTGAGGAGATTGTCTCGCGATTGCCTTTTCGCTACTTTAGGCAAAATGGCACGTCAGAGACTCTACTGGACCAAGTAAGGGCGACGGAGGGCGATCTGCAGGTGCAACCCTAAGCTGAAAGCGGTTCTGTTTCTTTTTCGATCGTGATATGTTTGGGCAGCTGGGTTATACTCTGCTTGTCCTCCTTGATTTTCGCTGTGATAAGAGTGGCTCCAATGATAACTCGTTGGTCATCCGCCCCATGTGTTTGCTGTTGCTTGCTCCACTGAACATGAAGACGTATCGCAGGATCCTGGTCGCAGGCGAGCAAGGCCGAGAGCTACGATTAATGCATTGGTGCATCCGGTTTTGCGTTCTGTCGTCATCCACAGGACAAGGAGCACATGCAACGCGAATCCACTCGCAGCATGGGGGGCAGTTCCTGTGCATGGATGGCACGTGGCGCATCGGTTTGAGGGTCATCGATTCTCCGGACTGCCTATTTTTCCTGTTGGGGGAGACGCCAAGGTTCACGCGTACGGAGCTGTGTTAAGCGAAAGGAAGGAGGAAATATACCTCCTTCTGAAGAGGTACACTATCGTCAAATTTGATGTCGGCGAGATTGTCGCGGGACTGTTTCCTCAGGACATACGCGAAACAACTGTCGGTGATATGATCGCCAAATGCCTTTGTCGAGAGCTGCGTTGAGTATCGTAAAGCATCATATATGTGTGGTAGCGAAAGATGCCACGTTTAGTCTAGTCCGCTCTTAGTCGTTCTCATCACCCGCACAACGCCGCAGGGTCGCGGAGAGACGGAGAAGGAACGACACGCTGCTCGCTCTGGAGTGGTTGTGNTGATGTCGGCGAGATTGTCGCGGGACTGTTTCCTCAGGACATACGCGAAACAACTGTCGGTGATATGATCGCCAAATGCCTTTGTCGAGAGCTGCGTTGAGTATCGTAAAGCATCATATATGTGTGGTAGCGAAAGATGCCACGTTTAGTCTAGTCCGCTCTTAGTCGTTCTCATCACCCGCACAACGCCGCAGGGTCGCGGAGAGACGGAGAAGGAACGACACGCTGCTCGCTCTGGAGTGGTTGTGCGACGACCTCTGCTGTAGAGGGGCTGATGATGTCACCAAGGGGTGGATACGATAGTCAGGACGTCCTCTGCTTCGACTTCTACTTCGACACCGCCGCCGGCATCGAAGCGCGCCAGAGGGGACAGAGATTGAGCGAGTGAAAGACTCGCTAGCGGGGTGCCTTTGAAGCTTGAACAGATCAGCACCCTCACGGACGCAGTCGCGATCGCCCACATGAAGGCATGAAAGCCACAGGGCTGAAGTTGACAGGCAACGTTGCACTCAAGCAGAAGAAACTATCTTACTTTTTCGAAAGCAACAATATTTCAGAGTACAGGTACTCTCCTTCAAGGCCTGAGACCTCGCCTGCGCCCGCTGTAGGACCCGCCAGTGGGCACATGTCAATCTGAGGGTTGGGGGCTCGAAATATCTGCTGGTGTTGAGTTGTTGTAGATATATTTATCGGCAAGACCTGCTCTTCCTACACCTTTGATCCAGACAAGTAAGATATAGACTATATGTATTCTGAAGTTCTGAAGCTTTAGCTTCAGCTTCTCAAACCAATATCCGGGTTTCATTCGAGTACCCCACCCCTTGCCCGACCCGGCCCGAAATGCTGATCTCGAGCTACAACGCAAATCTCGCGCAGTCTCGGGTATGGTTCGGTGGGGAATCGCAGATCATCACCCCTACCCGAGTTTGAGGAGGTTCCGCCTCTTGTGGCCGACAAGCGTCGGCCTTGTCTGTATCGCCCCGACGGGGCGGTTGAACAGACGTAGAGGGTCCGTCCGTTGCATCGCGGCTGTTTTTTCTGTCCAATACATCACATTTTTTTTTTTTTCTTGCTGATAATGAGCTCGATTGTGAGCTTGCTACGTGAGCGGGGTTCCACCTTACGCCACCTCGATGGTATGTATCCCTCAGGCTACTGTTGCACCACAGCCGGCATCTCGGAGGTGACGGTATCTCTTTGTGTTGGACGCCCGTCATGCACGCACAGCAACAAAATCGTCATGAGCATGTCGGAATATCTGCTGCTGTATCGCGGCTGTTTTTTCTGTCTGTTCACATTGCTGAATGAGCTCGCTTGTGAGCTTTCTACGTTTTTGTATGTGTTTCCGACCGCATGTCAAGCAAGCAGGAAGCACATGTAATGTCAACTGCCGCGATCGTTGCCTCTTGTCTTGGTGCCGTACATGCGGTGGTGGTGGTGGTGTGCATCTACGCGGCTACCCGTCGAACGTCATGTTATGCAACTGCTGCTGTACACGTTGACAAGTTGAGTTGATGATGATGTGCAAGTACCCGAGTTGAGCAGTTTTCCCGACCGCATGTCAAGCAAGCAAGACCAGTATGTAATGTCAACTGCCGCGATCGTTGCCTCTTCTCTTGGTGCCGTTCATGGTTCGGTGGTGGTGGTTGTGTACATCTACGCGGCTACATACCCGTCGAACGTCGACACAAGTTGACATATATATATATGCAACTGCTGCTGTGCACGTTGACAAGTTGACTTCATGATGATGTGCAACTACCCGACGCTCTACGTTGTATTATGTTGTCTGTGTGTAGATAACTGTAGAGAGAGCCGCAAGCCACCAACTGTCAATTAGTGCAGTAAAGTAGGTGATGGAGGAAGGAAAAGCGCGTACTAGCTTGCCTTCGCCCTAAGACCTCTTCTCTCCCCATCTCATTCCGGACTATTGGAATATTTTCACAAATTACTTCCGTCAACGTGTGAAATCTGTTTGTTTTCAAGGGTCCCCTGGACATGTTCTTCGGGCTCCCGGGTCTCTCCGCACTGTTTTCTAGGGTCCCCGGGGCTTTTTTATGCGGCTCGACGCTTCGCGCAAGACTTGCCTCCAGTGCAAGGAGACGGACTTCGGTCCCGGCACGCTTTTCCGCGGCGAGAAGTGAGTGTTCGTAGCATGACATCCAGTGTTCGTAGCATGACATCCTTTCCTTTAATTCGCGCATGACACTGAGGTTCTGACACAACGGATCTAAGAAAAGCAGTCTAAGATAGATTAGCAATGAATCCATGGCGTCAGAGGAACGCTACCTGTATGTCTACGGTTTCCCTAACAGCACACAGCGATACCTCCCCTGTGGGTAACAGGCTCAACAACACAGTTAGCCATCTTGTGTATCCTATCTGCATGTTATGTTGGGAAGTTGTAGACGGAAGATGTTGCAACTCGGTTTGTCGGGTGTGCTACAGTCTCACTCATATGTTACTCCCCAATATGCCTGCTGTCACCACAGGACATCTTGTGCGGTGTGCGATCGGTACTGCAGGAAGATGCATTGCAAGTTGGTAGCCGTCAAGGACTTGCCCCACAAATACTTGCTCGTCGCCAACGAAAGCCTCTTGAACTGTGCGGCGGTCAGAGACGAGTTCTTCAACTACCCTGGTGATCATCGTAACGTGCTAGATGGGCATGTGCTTGCACGTCAAGGATTTCAGCCTGATGCGCCTCATCACCTCCGGGTATGTCAAGAGTGCCTCAACAGCCTGCTCAAAGACAAGATGCCGGAGGCTGCTCTGGCTAACGGGCTGTGGCTTGGCGATTTCCCGGACCACCTACGTGGGGCAACTTTCGTCGAGATGATGGCTGCGAGCCCGGTCAGGATAAGCGGCATGGTGTTGGCCTTAGATGAGTTGAAGGTTGGCAACGTGCGTGGTTCCGCCAAGAGTCTCATGCGAGGTACTTTTACGTTCTACATGCAAGACGCCTACGGTGTGCAATTGCGTCTCCCTGCTTGCGATACCGACATCGCCGGATCATTCACCTGTGCCCTTGTTGGTGCGAAACCTTCCGTCGGCCAGCTCCGGAAATTGTTCGGTGCACGGCGCAAGATGGTTGAGGATCTCCTTGCATTTCAGCTGGACAAGGACAACCAACTGGTAGGAGTGCACCAGCTGGCGCAGGAAGCTCAACTTTCGGCGGAAAACCTTGACACATACAAGGATGACGGCTCTATACCAAAGGCGATTTTCGACGCCCTGCTTCCCGTCAACGACTCCACCAATGCCTACGCCAATGCGCGCTCCACGCACGCACATGGCAACCGCGAGCCGGACGACCATGAGGACGGACCGGCTCCACCTGCTGCCGCTGACCACGCCGACGACGGTGCAGGTGCCACACCTCCGTTCATCATCGAGACCAACGCCATCATGCCGTCAGGAGACGATCTCGCTGTCTCTAGCCATGCCAAACCCGGTCGTCTCCGCACCCTGGGCGTTGTGTTGAACTCACGCCATGGTGGTCGACCGTCTGCTGCGACAGCGGCATCTGGTGATGCTTCCCTGCCGCAAATGGCGGCAGCCCAAGCTCGTGCGGCTGCTGGGCAGCCTCCTGACGGCACGCAAAATGCCTTAGTTCTCACCCACTCTGGCCAAATGGTCTCGGACTTCCACAACCCTGGGCTGTTCGTGGGGGCATACTTCGATTTGTTCCCACATGGCGTTGGAGGGCATTTGGACAAACGAACAAGGCCGTTGGACCTCAAGCGTTGGGCTCAGATTCTTCTGCGAAGGCGGGATGCTCGGTTTCGTAAGAGTCGTACGTTCCTGTATTGCGTGTGCGCCCTGATTTTTAGGCGGGAGGCGATCTCAAACGCCCGGTGGAAGCTGCGTGGACGTGTGCCGAGGGATGTCGCATCCAGAATTGCTGGCGTCACCGCACAGGACCTCAGGGCGGTTGCAGCTGAAATGGAAACAGGCTCGAGTGGCTTCTCTGCTCTGGCTGATCGTCCAGGAATCCGAGACCTCATCAAGAACATGGAGTTCGTGCACGCTGGGGCATCGTGGACCATCTACAACAAACGTTCCACCAGAATGATCGCAATATCCTTCATCATGCAGATGGGGCAGCCGTTGTTCTGGTTGACGATCAACCCCGCAGACGTCAACAGCCCCATTGTTATGGTTCTTGCCGGCGTGGAGCTTGACGTCACCAGCCGCCTCAAAGCCGACTTTCCAGCTTATGCGGACAAGCTCAGATTCGTCGCGAACGACCCGGTTGCATCAGCTGATTTCTTCCACGCTACCATCGACGCCGTTCTCACGTGCTTGCTTCGGTTCGGAGCTTGTGACGGTGATGGCGGTGTTCTGGGACGGGTGAAGGGCTACGTTGGTATGACAGAGGAACAGAAACGCCTTACACTTCACTGTCATCTGCTCGTGTGGGTTTACGGCTACAACGACTTTGCCTCATTCCGCGAGCTCATGGACAAGACTCCGACGAGGTACTTCGAACTTGCAGAGTACCTGGACAAAGTGATTTTCAATCAAATCGCCACACTCAGCGACATCAACCACGTCATGCGTGGTGTTCAGCCTTCGCCGGAAGTGGAGACCGACGTGCCAGCACCTCCGCCGGATCAGCTCATGCGTCCGGCAAAGGAGCGTATGGCGGTTCCACCGCCGTCTTCCTGTTTTCCACGTGACGGCCAGCCGCGCAACAACGTCCACGACGACAAGTACGCCCACCTCATGTACCTCGACTTGGCTGGCCTCACCGGTGGGGCTAACTTGCACAAGTGTCAGGCGACGTGCCGCAAGTTCAACCATGGCGACTCCTGCAGGTGAATTCTCCCCCAATAACACCCCGTGTACGACCAAGTAGACTCCAAGACGTCTCTATGGATTTTTGTCTCATCGTTTAATGATTTCCACTTCGACTTCAACAGGTTTGGGTTTGGTGACAAAGGCAAGCCCCTCGTGCAGAAGACGGTTGTACAACGCGGGCGTTGCGTTTTCGACACCGACGGAAACATGACTATCAATGGCATCGTCTATTCTTGGAGCTCCGCAAAGGATGCCGCGGCTGCCGCATCAAACGAAGCCTTTCGCGCAGCTTTCGATGCCAGTATCGCACACTTGGTGAACGACAACGGCCTTCCCGACCCCTTGTCTGATCGTTTCACGGCGGAGCTTCGTCGCCTGCACTCGCACATCAACAGCTTCAACCCCGTCATCCAGTTCGCCATTCGCAGCAACATGGATCTCAAGATTCTCTTGAGGGACAGCGACGCCAAAGGACTCTTGTTCTATATCCTCAACTACAGCACCAAAACGGAGCAAAATTTGGACGTGTTGCTACCTCTGCTAGCACCCGTGGCTGAACGGATCAGAGAGCAGAGCGATGGGGCACCCGAAAAGGAGCTCGCTGTACGGCTGGTGAGGTCGTGCCTGTGCAAGCAATTGTCCAGCCTAAGCATCGGTGGGCCAGCGGCAGCAAGCAAGGTTTTCGACTTGCCGGACCACAGGATCTCCCACCCAACCGTCCCGTGCTCCATGAGCCCGCTGCTAACGTGGGCGACGTCTAGGGACGGCCCCCTGGACGGCGAAGTCGACCGTGTCGACGACAGCAGCGACGATGATGATCAAAACGACAGCGACGTCGAGGAGAGCATCATCATCACGCCTTTCAAAGGCAAACTCACTGTCGCGCAACGTGTCTACTTACTCTACCTCAAGCGATGTGACCCTAACGACACAACTAATCCCGTGCACGGCATGTCCTATGTCGTGTGGCACAAACTCGTCCGACTCGAGCGATGCTTACCAGGCCGCAACCATCCGGCGCCGACTGATCGTTCCGACGATGATTCCGAGAGTAGCGGGGATGACGAACCCTCGGATGCCGACGACATCGGGGATGACGACTCCAATGGCGACGATGTACCTGCAACACGGAGGCCCGCACGTGGTCGACCGAGGGCAAACCGTTTGCGCTTTGTCGGGGACTTCAAAAACAAATGGCACCAGGTACCTCGTTTTCATTTTTGCTCTACACTACATTTTCCGTCTTATATTGTCCTCGCCTGCTGATTTCTACTTGCGGCCGACACCCTCGTAACATTTTCATCTCACCTCTTGGCACCCTTTTCCTCGTCTGTTGTCCACCTGTCGTGCTAGGTGATGCGCGAGAAAACGGCCATGGTCAACATTATGCGTGACATCCCGAGGGCGGACACTCAGCCAGTTGCTCACGCGAGGCTGCTTCTGTGTATGTTCGTTCCGTTCTTCAACCTGGACGACCTCAAACTCAACGGCGAGTCATGGACCCAGGCCATGGCTAGG